CCAGAACGATTGCGAACAGGACTCGATGCGCGGGTTGTGGGCGGTGTGCGGCGTCGAGGTCGCAACGTCATGCACAGCTGAGAAACGCAGGATGTAACGACGGCTTGCTGCAGCAGCGACACCAAAGAAACAAGCAGAGGAGTTGGAATCTCATTATCAAATCTACCGCAGGCTATGCGCAAACTTCAAATGACAGAAAATCTCAGGAATAGTAAAATACGTTCCCCTCCATCAGCCTCCGTGCAGTCCTCGTTACTATGCATCGATCTACCGCAAGGCCTTCTTCTTCGTCACGAGCCCACACTTCTACCTCCATGATTCCACTGCCATGCTGTATGCGAACGGTGCGTTTAATCTTTTGGCCACCAATGATAGGGCCTTCTGAGGCATTCGTAGTCGACGGACTCGGCGTTCTCCTGGGTGTTGGCATGCCCTCCAGACCCGAATCCCGATTCGAAACACGGTGCGCAACGGTCCCCTCCTTGATGGCGGCATATGCCAGAGTAACACCACCCGTCAGTTGCAAACTCGGATGAGGCTTTCCCATGCTGTAAGCCTGTACTCGAATATCCGCCGCATCTCTGTGACTACCAACTGGCGGCGAAAGATACGCCAGCTTCGGAGTCCCTCTAACCAGACCGGCGGCCTCGACTGTGCTGGCAAGTCCCATCTGTACAGCTCCTTGCCTCCGGATGGCCTCGGCGACTTCGATGGATAGAGGAGAGTCTGGGAACTGTCTCTTGACTTCAGCGGGCAGACTCTGAGCATCAACAAGAACGAAAGGATTCGCAGAGTCGATGAGAGTCACGTCCACCATAAAGTCACCAACAGAAGCCACTTCCTCTACGAGGATCCTTTCGAATCGATTTCCGCTGGGGAAGAGCTTGCCCGTCATGCTGCCCACCGGCTCGACGAAAGCAACCTTGATCTCGCTGCCGGGCCCCTTGACGCCCGGGATGAGGCAATCCCCATCCTCCTCCGCGTTTCCGTCTTGGTCAACGTAGACCGTTTCCACAATGAGTTTCGATGTGTTGGTATTGAATATCCGCACGTCGACTACCCGAGAACCAGGCATCAGACTAACCAATCTCTCTTGCACGGCAAAAGGACCAACCCCTGAGCAGATGTTGCCGCAGTTCCCGCTGAGATCAACAGTCTCGCTTCCGACGGCCACTTGGACAAAGGTGTACTCGACGTCCACGCCTGGCCTGGTGGATGGTGACACCACGGCAACTTTGGAGGTCACGCTGCTTCCCCCTCCAACACCGTCGATTTGGCGGGCATCGTTGTATTTGGATCCCATGGCGGCGAGGAGTGGAGTAGCCCACTCTGCTTCAGATTGCGGCAGATGAGACCGGTGGATGAAGAGGCCTTTTGATGTGCCGGCTCGCATCAGCACCGCGGGAAGGGAGTGCCTGACCCGGCGCTTTGTGGGTGCTGGTGTTATTGCCATGATTGGGATAGTGAAGGGGATATGGACTGGGAAGGATGGCGGTAAGGTAGGATATGAGAGCTGATGAAGGAACCTCCGAGATCCAACAAGTGTGTTGTTGACTATAACATTGAAGGGCATTGGTGAGACTATAACAACCAGTCTTATACCACCTCTCTTGGATGGAAAGGGTTTGTGAGCTTAAGAAGGTCTGGGGAAAACGGTGTTTGCCATCGAGATAACCTCTCTATTCCACGCGAGCACTTAATATTAATACACTCTTTGCCGTCATCGCGTCAGGGTGAGGTCGTGTCAGTGGCGCATAGCCGCGGGAGTGAAAGTGTCCCGCGGGATCGAGAAGCATCACTCCCGCCTGTGTAACCAAAACAGTGGAGCGTCAACACTTTACCCCCGGGTAAAAGTCTGGTTTATGAAAGCAACAGATATCGCACCCGGTAAAGGCGAAAACATCCGCCCAAGTGGATCAAGAAAACATGCTATCCAACGCGGATCCGTTGAAACCAAAGAGTAAGTCATCAAAGGAGGCCGAGCCGCCGTCTCCTTCTGGCACCCCCTGGAGCCAGGCTGGGTTGCCACCAAAACCCGAGGTACCAAAGCTGGAAGCTTGGTTATACGCGGGCTGTGGGACTTGTTGAAAACGAACATCTGCTTGTGCCGGATCCGCTGAAGCTGCGTTAGGATCTTGACCTCTTGCAAAACTCTGAATGATCCCATCGATATCCGACCATCCTAATGGAGGTGTTTCGGTCTCGGCTGCTGTCTGAGGCGCATGACTCTGAAATACTTGAGGCAGGTTATTTGAACCTTCAGCATTGTCCTGAGTGGTGGCCATGGCTAAACGCGCTCTTTTGCTGGCTTGTATGCGGTTCCTCGGCTGTGAGCTTTGTTCCTCACCGAGACTAACACCAAGTCTCGCCATCAAGCCTTCGACTATTGTTTTGGCCCTCCTGACAGCCCAGTTTGTTTCTTGATTCTCACGGAACACTGACATGCAAGTTTCCAGACGTTCTCGAGCCTCCGATTCCGTGCTTCTTTTGGCAGCTATTCGTACGTGTATCGTTGCTGCAACGTACGTGGCATACGAGATCAAATATGGCGCATGACGAACGGAGAATACCCTATCATAGACCCGAAGAACGCTCACTATGCTGTCGGCCGCAGACGCACAAGTGATGAACGAGTTGACAGAGATGGAGCGAGACGTGTTGTAAAGATGGCCATCAGCTACGAACGGGCGATTGAGAAGGATGGTAAGAACATGGTACATGGCGCTGAGTAGAAGTCAGTCGATCATTATTTCTCAAAAAGGATTCCATAGACTCACTGCAAACTAAGGACATGCGGTGGCGGCACAGCGTCATTGCTTTTTGGATCAAAGATAAGATGTGCTGGGAGTGCATCCTTCCAAGTTGCCAACTTCGAGCTCAAGGTCTGTAACATTGTGGAAAGCTCCGCAGCACTCTTGTCGAATGCCCTCTCCGTGTAGATGCAACTCAGTATATCGCTCATGACGACTGAGAGACGACACAGATACGTGAATGTCGATACACTATAGGCGGGCGAACCAGGATAGTTAGTGGCGTCGGTAGAGTAGGCAAACGGCTTCCAGTTCTCAAACTCTTCAAATGTGTCGAGGAACTTGATCGGTACCAGGGTGTCAGACTCTTTCAGGGATGCTGGACGCCCTTGATACAGACTCTGGATCTTGTCGACAACTAAAAATGGCGTCAGTATCCCTAAGCTTGCTGAGATGATCCAAGTGCTTCCTACCGAATGCCCCCCAGAATACCCGCCGACGTATCTCTAGATCTTCATCAGAAAATTTGCGTGTTATACCAAGACCTGGAGCATCTACATGCATGCCCAGGTCTATGATCATTCGGAATGCCAAACCAGCATACAACCAAGCCGCGCTTCTCTCATCCCCTAGCGCAAACAGCGAGTTCGTCATCACCAGCAAAGCTTGAATCGTTGTAATATCACTACTATCAAGCGCATCACCAAGTAATTTGCGCACACGCTCGCGAAAAGCCCAGCCGGCAGTACGAACATCATTGGGGTCCCTCCGTACCTCTCTTCGGGGGCTGAACTTGGAAGCCCCAAAGTAGATGGCGTTCAAGAGTATCTTGGAGAAGTATGGCCCATGACAGGCCATATCTCGCATGAACGCGGGTCGATAGGTGAGCAAGAATGAGTGATGCTGGCGATTCCAGTGCAGGGACAAGAGATGCATGCCAAGCTCTGGGTCCACACCGTCAAAATCGAGCGTTCCCGCTCGATGATTGAACTCTTCAAGTTGACCTACGTACTGTTAGGAGCCAGACTTCTTGTCCGAGGCTCTGGAGGATGCAACCCACGTTGTTTGGCTGTCTCTGCAACCAGGCCTTTCTCGATCCAGTCATCTGGCATCCGGGGGCGCAGGTCAGCTACCGAGAATCGCTCCTGGGGATTCTCCTCGAATAATGCACTGGTGCGGCCATGGTAGCTCGAAACCCCATTTGCGGATACCACGATACGAGATACATCCCCGCGATGGGAAGACGCCCGTTCCGTTGAGTTCTCCGGGCGTTCTGTCCTGGTAAGCCGGGGTGAAGGGGTAGAAGGATCGTGGTCATCGGGGTTTGGCGAGCGCGCGGCGTCGTTGCGATCCGCGGGAGTGTCATTGCGTACACTACCATCCCGGACACTTGTCGGGGTGTGGGTTTCCCGTCGTGTGCCCCTCAAAGCACCTCTTTGGCGCTCGGCATGACGTCGTGTTGGTGTTGAGTGCAGTGTATCTGCGTCAGGGCTAGCCAGAGGCTCATAGACACAGTCTTTGCCATACGTCTTGCAATTAGCACACGTAGGCTGTTCGTTATTGCACTTGATCTGGAAGGCGATTAGACATCTCTACGGCGCTGTGAAGTTGAGAGTGACGAACTTTGCGCCGTCGGCAGAACGAGCATGCTTCGACGGCCCGCCTTCGGGGACGTCCGGAAGCCGTGGTGGCATTACCTGATTTCGGACCCATAGTGAGATGAGCGGGAATTGAGGAGTAAAGCAGTATCCGTGGATGGCTTGCTGGTGGACTCGAGAATGTTTGCTCCGGGGTGCTGTGGTTTTGGAAGAAAGCGAGCGCGGGAAGCTTGCCGCGGGAAGAAGGTGACCTTGGAGTTACCAAGTCTGGACGGGCCGCGGGCTCGGGAAGGATTCTAATTGGCCGGGCTGGAGCATCGGCAGCCGTCTGCAAGTCCGTCTTCTTCCCGCGGGATCTCTAGAGTCGCCCTTGTCAAGAATGAACGAGGAGTCGGGAGGATCACAATCAGTGAGTGCGTTTTGTTTGAGTAACCAGAGTCATCTGGTGTTATCTTCCAATTGATAGAGATACTCGCCTTTCGTCATCGAAGCCGTGAACAACACCTCATGCGACCAGTCATCATCCCAACGCTTTCACCCACTTGATATTTTCATGTCTTTTCTTTTCTGCGTGGTTCGGTGACTTCTCCTCAATAAACTTCGAAGGAATTTATTCGATCGTTACTAGAGGTATTGAAGTTTCAAACAAACCATGGCATCTATCACTTCGACTGCTTCACCTGGCGGTGTCACCCTTACCACGACCCCGCCGCATAAGAAGTCTAAACTAGCTGTTAAGCCCACAACGTCGCCAGGAGTATCTCTAATCTCGGGCGGCATTGCTGGAGCTGTTGAAGCTGCAACTACAGTAAGTGTTTTCAGGCTGCTTTGGTGCAGTCCTTATCATTACTCACGCTTACTTCAAACCCGCCCCAAAGTATCCCTTCGAGTTCGCAAAGACGAGAGCGCAGCTCCACTCGACAGGTGCCAAAAACCCATTCGCAGTACTGCTCCAAGTTGCTCGACAGGATGGGCCGAGAGCCATCTACACAGGCTGCTCAACAATGATCATTGTGAGACTTCTATGTTTGCTTCGCTGCGCAGTATGCTCATCTTCCATCCTTAGGGAACGACGTTCAAAGCCGGAGTACGCTTCCTGTCTTTTGACTCTATCAGGAACTCCTTGATGGACGATGAGGGTCGCCTGACTCCGGCAAGGGGTATTCTAGCTGGTATGATTGCCGGATTTGTAGAAAGTGTTGTAGCGGTAACACCAACTGAGAGAGTGAAAACAGCACTGTAAGTATGATCAGCAACTCCCAAAATCAGATACACCTTGATTCAAGAACATTGATTTTGAGTGCTCGACTAAAATAACAGCATTGACGATGCAAAGTCTGGTGCACGAAAGTACGCCGGTGGAACGAACGCTCTGGTCACGATGCTGAGAGAGCATGGATTCGCAGAGGTCTATCGAGGTCTCGTTTCTACTACTTTGAAGCAATCCGCCACCTCAGCGGTACGCATGGGATCATACAATGTGATCAGGGAACAGTCTAAGCAGCATGGCTTACCGAACAACTCACTGATCACTTTTGGATCAGGGTCGGTTGCTGGCATTGTCACTGTCTATGCTACACAACCTTTCGACACTATCAAGACTAGAGCGCAGTCAGCTCGAGGGGCTGGAACACTGGAAGCGCTCCGTATGGTGCTTTCGGAAAGAGGCTTAAGGGGCCTGTGGAGTGGAAGCACCATGAGACTTGGTCGTCTGATTCTGAGCGGAGGAATTGTCTTCACTGTATACGAGAAAGTATCTGGCCTGTTAAGCCGTTGAGAAATCTCGGCGTGGCAAATCAAGGAATTCTGTAGGATTTCGCACCAGTTCTCTCCGTGTTATTATCAAAAGCACGCAGTCCTTGGACGAGTAGCAGCCCCACTGAAATGCAAGAAGTCTTCGAAAGCTGTGCTTCTTGACTAACTCAACTTGCCTCAGCACATCCGAATCATGTCAATGTTTGCCTTACAAAATCCTGGCTAGGTCTGATACAGGCTTGTGTTTGTGTTGAAAATTTCCGTTTTCCCCAGATTCAAACCATTAGACTAGTTCAGGGCTACCAAAGGCAAGCGGGGCATTGGTTCCGGATAGGCGAGTCTGACGCAGCTGCATAAGAGCAGAGATGATGAAGTGGCGACAGAGAAGACGGGAAGAGTGGTGAACTAGACGTGGCCTGAGGAATTTTCGGCATCTCAGGAAACACTTCACATCGCTAGCATCTGTTCCGTAAGTAGCCTGCTGCGCCCACTCCACTGCCCGACCTCCCGCGGGAGCAGGCTGCTTACTCGCGTTCCCGTCTCACCCTAGTACGGATCCATGAACGATGTCGACGCGGGGTAGTCTGGAGTCCCCGGAATGCCAAGCTTCCCGGACAAGCTCATGGATAGATGAGCTCGCCAGTCTAAGTCGTATAAGTATAAAACAATGTCACAGGCTGGAGAGCTGAGTAGGAGTAGGAAGTCAAGACTCAAAGATATCAACCACGCTTATAAGCAATTTCAAGCTTCCACAGACTTGGATTTGACTCACTACTCAAGAGAACTACCATGATCTCCAACGATGAAGGTCGAGCGGTGGTACAATGTGCTGGCAAAGATGCCACAAAATTTGAAGAGCTTGAAGACCCCACCAAGTCTTCTGATCCCTCCGTGGGGAAGCTCAGCCAGCAATACGACATAACTCCCAGAGATATCCAGAGCCGTTTCGAACATCTTCGTGAGTTAAGCGAAATAGATATGACAAGGCTCAACAAGAGCATTGTACGAAAGATTGATATGAGGATGATGCCTTGTATAACGCTCATGTTTCTCATGAGGCAAGTTAAACTCAGATGGCGAGGGGTCCATTACTAACACTAAATCAACTTTCCAGTTATCTCGACCGCATCAATGTTTCCAACGCAAGACTCAGTGGGATGCAGGATAACCTACATATGTCAGACACCATGTGGAACTTGGGCATCTCAACTTTTTACATCGGTTATCTTGTTGGACAATTACCTGGCAACTTGTGGTTGGCCAAGGCAAATCCAAGATGGTTTCTACCCTCAACGATGGTGGCCTGGGGAGCGGCAACCATCTGCACTCCCGCCCTCAAAAGGTCAGTGAGAAACGCAGAGAGCACAAGTTCTATGGAGTTTACTGACTCTCATCTAGTGGTGCCGGCTTCGCCGCTCTGCGCTTCTTCACCGGTCTGGCTGAAGCGCCGTTCTTTCCGGGAATCACACTGAGTAAGTGCAACATCTACCCCGATGGTCAGCTTTTGATCAGTGCTGACACGGGGTAGTGACTTCCTCCTGGTACACCAAGGAGGAGAGTCCTCTCAGAATGGCCATCTGGCACGCGGGAAACACCATATCCAACATCATCTCAGGCTTCCTTGCGGCAGGAATTCTCACTACAATGGGTGGTGTCTCGGGTCTGTATTCCTGGCAGTGGTTCTTTCTCATTGAAGGCATCGTGACGTTCCTGGTGGCTTTCTCTGCCTACGTTCTCCTCCCAGACTGGCCCCACAACACGCGGTTTCTGACTCCTGAGGAGAGAGATATGGCGCAGTACCGTATCCTGTGCTCCAATGGAGGCAAAGAGGAAGCTGCCGGAGGCACTTGGGATGGTCTCAGAGATGCTGTCAAAGACCCTTTCACCTGGATCTTCTGCCTGTTGCATTTCTCCCTGGTCACTGCCCAAAGTTTTAAAGACTTCTTCCCTTCGGTAAGCTCTCTGACTCCCCAGCTGTCAGAGTTCATTCCAGGGTTCTCATGACTGACCATGCCTAGATCGTTAACACCTTTGACTTTGGCGAACTCACAACGTACTTCATTCAAGCTCCCCCGTATGCGTTCGCATTTGTGTTTGCATATGCTGTTGCCTGGTCGTCAGGTCGGAATCAAGAGTCTTTCTGGCACATCGTCCTACCTATCATTGGCAGTGCGGCTGGCTGTGCAGTCCTGATCTCAACCATGAACATTGGAGCTCGCTACTTTGGTCTTTTCCTCCTTATTTCCGGCACATATAACGGTCTCAACCTGCAGCTGTCGTGGGAAACAACTGTCGTTCCAGCCCCTCGGAGCAAGAAGGCCGCACTCATTGCAATCGCCAACTGTATCAGCCAGGTCAGTCACTGGTTCAGTCCATACTTCTGGCCGCGTTCGCAGGAGCCCTTCTACAGACTAGGCGGCGGTCTTGTACTGGTGGGTTGTGCTCTGGTTGTAACGTCAGCTGGCTTGGCGAAGTGGCGTGCGATCCGTCTGAATAAGAAACTGGATGAAGCTGAGGGTTACTCCGAGAACTCGGGGGTCGAAAGGGGTTGGAGATTTGCGTACTGACAAGGCCATGAGATTACGAACGAGTCGATATAGATTGCTGTCGTCTCGCTACATGTGTGCTCAGAGGGGTCTCGGATATACACTACTCCAGTATCAATTTCTAGATAGAATTGGGCACTGCACCCATCTACTGGTTTATACTCAAATGCTTCTGCTGAACGATAGCGCCTCTGAAGCTCACGCTGTACTTGGTGCACGAGTCTACCGCGATGCCTTGACCAACCTATGTCACAATAGGTGGCAGTTCTGAGGACTTGGTAAAATCACAAGTCAGCGGGAATGCAGTGTTGGAGACCGCCAGGTGCAGCGATCCTTGACCATGCAGGGGTTCGGCAGAACTAGGCAGGATGTCATCCCAACTGAGATTACCGTCGTATTAGCTGCATCATGTTTGCGTACAGTCGCCTAAAGCACCTCCACCTCTTGTTTTCGCTCTGATCATCCACCCATCAGGCCATGAAATACCACAGCCGTAAGCCATGTGGCTCATCGACACCACGAGTCTGAAGCTTCATGCTTTTATGCCTCCAGACCTCCCACCGTACGCCATACTATCTCATACCTGGGGATCCGGAGAAGTGACCTTCCAGGAGCTTGCAGATCTAAATACTGCCAAAGAAAAAGCCGGCTACACCAAAATCCGGAAGACATGCGAGCTCGCCAGGCAGAATGGTCTGGAGTGGGCATGGGTGGACACCTGCTGTATCGACAAATCCTCAAGTGCTGAACTCTCGGAGGCGATCAACTCAATGTTCGAGTGGTACGAGCTTTCAGCCATCTGCTTTGCTCATCTCGCGGACCTACCTGTTGAGTCTCCCACGCTATGGATTTTCGAGTCTGGCATACACAAGCGCGCGTGTCGCTGGTTCGAACGCGGGTGGACCCTTCAAGAGCTCATTGCGCCCAAGACGCTCGAGTTCTTCGACTGCGAATGGAACTCGCGCGGCTTCAAGACCGACAGCGCGGTCCTGCGACAATTGTCAGCGATGACGGGGATACATGGCAAGACTGCCCGAGTACTCAAAAACAGCGCGGCAATCACCGAAGTTTGCATTGCGGAGAGAATGTCTTGGGCGTCAAAGAGGCGGACAACCCGGGTCGAAGACATAGCCTACTGCCTGCTCGGTCTCTTCCGCGTGAACATGCCCTTGCTCTATGGAGAGGGGTCGCGAGCTTTCATGCGACTTCAGGAAGAAATTCTTAAGAACAGCACTGACATGTCTCTCTTCTGTTGGACCGCGCCGCAGGAAGCCTCGCAGCAGTACCGTGGGTTGCTAGCCCGCCATCCATCGGAGTTCGCGTCATGGTACGATACAGAATCTACCTCGCGAAAGTCCATCAGCTGGGCCATGTGCGAGCAAGAGAAGGAATTCTCATCGACCAACAAGGGGATTCGAATGGATGCAACTCTGGCGAGTTTCTTTGTTCATGGCGAGAACAGAACGTGTCTAAGATGCACGCTTTTCCCAGACGACTATGTCGTCTTCATACCGCTACGATACCACCGGGACAACATCTACGTTAGAGAGCTTCCTACTACGATCATCCCTTCGCGTACGACACGGCACGAGCAGGAAACCATATACATCGCCAAGGACGTGGATGAGCGTATGTCGATCAATCTGCAGGCCAAGATGGCGGAGACTCTGAGCATCGACAGGTCCCTACTTCCGGCCAACTTCTCGTTGGAGATGATGGAGACCTGGCCCAAGAACTTGTGGCAGTCACAGAGACAGCAATATGCCCTGCCCGGATCAAAGCTATTTACTTGCATCAATTCATACAGCGTCTATTTTAAAACTGTCAAGGTCGGTGAGGTGTGTCTTATTTGCCAGCGACATTCTTCTGCTCTACAGCCTTTACGTTACGCCTTGATCCCTTTACAAGAAGCAACCGGCCGTGCCGGCATTATGTCGCAGATAAAAGATCACGAGAGCAGTGGTGCCCGGGGGCAACCCATTGAAGCCTTTAGTTTGATGGAGCAATTCATCATTGATGGCCGTCAGGCAGTGGACCTTTCGCACGGGAATCTCAGCTTCTCACTCTTCGTAACGCGATACTCCGAGACTGAGGAGAGCAACGACAAACTGTATTTGAAGGTCACTTCTTTCCAGGACCTTCTTCATCCACTGCCTATCAGAAAATCGAAGACCATATCGATCAGCGATGGCAAGGGCCCCGGTCATCGCCTCGAACGTGCTCCTCAAATCGGAGGAGATGGCGCCGTAGTACAGCCACCGAAACCATGCGACATCGCGGAAGCGGAGCGGGAGAACTCTGGATAACTCAGAGTGGGTATATATACCATTAACACATCGCTTCTTTTGAAGCACGAACTCTCTCGTACGATGCCCTGCTCTTCTGCATGCTATCACTCTAGCATGACAGCCATCCAGACCATCATCCCGAATTCATCGATCCCCTCGCACCACTTTGCGACTCGGGCTACCAGCTGGTCCTCCTGGCTTCGATCTTCAGAGTCCGCCCCCAAAGCCCTTCTAGCCTTTCGAAGATCCTGGATGCTCAGAACCTTTTCATCGCACGACTCGGCTCGTAGCCTCCTGTATCGTGCACGCCACTCGTCACTGGACACGGCTTCCCACAAATCTCTGCCGGAGGGCAGTGGCAGGAGACTATAGCCACCGCAATCCGCCGGTTCCTCTGCGTTCAGATCCACGTCCATCAAAAGCTCAATGCCAAATAGAAGGCAGATTGTCCTGCGGTCCCTTGCTATTAGCGAAACTTCTCAGATTGACTCAGTCTCTCGAAACCCACCTCCTGGTACTCTCACGAAGAATCCAGCCTCGACGATCTAGACTTAGCTTGCTGATAAGGTCGAGTTCGTAATTCAGGGTCAGGTGCAGCGACCTGGCTAGCAGCTGCTCTGGTTAGCAATAACACTTGGCTATCTCCTGGCTTCTTACATTGGGTACCACTAGTAGCGCTTTGATGTTGCTTTCTTGTATTGATTGGAGGTCATTTGCCTGAAGCAGCAGATATATAACCACGGCCTGGAGAGCGTGTAACATCTGTTCGCTGTTATAAGAAGAATGCTGTTCAACCTCATGTTAACTAGTGAGATGACAACTCGTGGCAAAGCGCTGACCTCTCACCTCTTGCCGGATCCTGCCTACTTCACTGTATATACTCCTCCAAACAAAAGCCGCGCTTCCCGGAGTCCTCTGGTAAAAGCTTTGCACGAGGTTGCAGCAGATGGCTAGCGGCTCTGGAAGACACTGGTGAAGCTCCTTGCCACAACATCCAGCTATTGACTCAGATCCGTCAATGGCGCAGGGTGGGAATATGAAAGGCGGCATCCGGCCACCTTTGATCATCATCTTGGGATAAGATAAGATCTGGCCGAGGAGGACTCTGGCTGTGAAGCATGTTGCCACCGTTTTAGTAATTCGCGGGACGAGGGGGTTGTCTTGATAGAATGGCCGGAGTTTTCTTGCCGGACAATCCCTGAAAGTCCTGTGTAACTGGATTTCACTTGAAGGATTTTCGTGATCTTGATATTCCGTGTCATCCATGACGCCTAAATCACCAAGGTCCTCTGGTCCGAATAGGTTCGAGTTACTTCGCTGCCACGGAACTCCGGCACCGCCAAGCACGGTCTGGCGAAGTTGAGGCGAGTCGAAGCTCAAGGAGAAAGAATTTGGACTTAGGAGTTGTCTCTGTGAGATAGGGTCAGAGTCTAAAGGGATCGTCGCAATTTCCGTTGACAAGAGGTTCGACCAGTCCATCGACGGTTCACGTTCGGGCCGCGGGTGGTCCCCCGGAAGCAGGCCGTCTCTCTCGATGCGGATCAGTGACTCCGTGCCATTGGGCAGCTGATCAAGTGCTCCGTGAACACCGCGGTCGGCGATCGTCTCGGCCGGACGCAGTGATCGGTATCCAGCTGATTGCTTGGGGACGTGGTCGTATCTACACCTCAAATCCCTTTCCTCACAGCGCCGGCATGGTGTCCCGAGCGAACACCTCGCCTTACTGGTCCGGCACAGAACGCAAGACTTTTTCCGGCTGGCAGCCAACGTCATCTCGAGTAAAACGCCAGAGATATGAATTGAATCAACCATTAAGCAAAATGACGAGGTCAAGTTTGCGCGTAGAATCTAGGTTCAGCTGGACCTGGTTCAATCTCGGGGTTTGTCATCACTCCGCGGAGTTCCAGCCAATCACTGCTGACCGGCTCGCCGTGTCCGGAAGCCACCCCACTACTCCGCTCCGCGGGAATGACAATGTTACCCCGGGCACAATCGTACGTTTGGATGATAGACTTCGGGACGAGGCGACATCTCCGCCATGTCGCGGTGTGAAGCCACGCAGATTCATGTTCGGAAATCCGACAAATCGGGCATCCAGGCGAGAAGGCGCTGAATCAACTGCATCAGGCCCGCCGGCGACCGCTTATATGAGCCGCCAGATGTTATTGGTAGGTTGTCTGGACAAAGATGGATGAGTTCTTGGTAGATATAAAGAACGATGCCGTGATAATCAAGGCCCTGAATATTCAGCATTGCAAACTCATTCACTGAACAGAGGACTTACACCAAACTCATCTTTCATTCCACCTAAACTCCCAACCAGCGATCATGGCCCCCATCAGAGTAGGCATCATCGGACTCTCCGCAAAGGAGGCAGTCATGGGCCCAGGCGCCTGGGCCTCCATCGCCATCCTCCCCTCCTTCCAGAACTCGCCACACTACGAGATTGTTGCACTCTGCAACTCGTCCGCGGAAGCAGCCCGCCGCTCCATCGAGATGCATAAGCTTCCGAGCACGACCAAAGCATACGGCGACGTCGAGCAGCTGGCCAGCGACCCGGATGTGGACCTCGTCGTCGTAAGCGTCGTCGTGACCAAGCACCTCGCCGTCACCCTCCCCGCGCTCGCCAACAGGAAGCAAGTCTTTGTCGAGTGGCCCCTGGGCGCCTCGGTGCAGGAGGCGGAACAGCTCACGCAGCTGGCCAAGTCAGGCGGACTCAAGACCATTGTTGGT